TGGGTCACACGGTTGCCCGCTGCACCTGGCAAGGCGCTCGGCTGGCCACACCTTGGAGCCGTGGTCAGGACAGCCTGTAGACATGTGACATTAGGGAAGATCATTCCTCCACGAGAAGTTCAGCTTGCCTACCCTCTGCAAAACCTCCTGGGCTTTACCACTTCTAAGCTGGGGGAGAGGGGGTGTGTATGTATTTCAGAGATATCTCCCTTGCATATCTAGATTTGAGATGGTTTTTCAGAGTCGTGAAATTGTCAACATGCAGTGTTCTAGACAACGAGAAGTATCAGGATGTATTCAGATCTAAAGGAAGTTTGTGGAAGTGGGACTCATAATTCCAAGTGGTAGTGATTGCTAGAGAATTCCCTAGACCAAACCGCCACTCTCGTGGTGACTGGTTTTGTGTTTTCAACTCTGGCTCATGTGAAATGTACCAAATAAGTGCTTCTTTGTTTCCCTTCGGGAAGTCACTTTGGATTCTCAAGGCAGACCTTATGATTGGAATATTTTCACATTATTGGTTAAAAATTTAAAAATTTTTCTTTTCTTTTTTTAAAAAAAATATTTATTTGAGAGAGAGTGAGAAAGAGAGCATGAGAGTGGAATGAGGAGCTGATGGAGAAGCAGGCTCCCTGCTAAGCAGGGAGCCTGATGCAGGGCTTGATCCCAGGACCCCAGGATCTTTTTTTTTTTTTTTTTAATTTATTCATTTGATAGATAGAGATCACAAGTAGGCAGAGAGGCAGACAGAGAGAGAGGAGGAAGCAGGCTCCCGGCTGAGCAGAGAGCCGGACGTGGGGCTCGATCCCAGGACCCTGGGATCATGACCCGAGCCGAAGGCAGAGGCTTTAACCCACTGAGCCACCCAGGTGCCCCGGACCCCAGGATCTTGACCTGAACCAAAGGCAGACACTTCATCAATTGAGCTACCTGGGCACCCCAAAATTTTAGAATTTTTCAAAGCCAGTTTGGAAGAACAAGGCTTGAACCAATCCCAGTGACACAGATAGTTCCTTATTTTTAACCTAAGAGCACTTGTTCCAGAACTGTGCACAAACTGTAGCTGTTTCCATAGCAACACTCAAAGTCCAGCTAGGAACAAAACATTTGGCCCACCCAGTTTCTCTGTGTCTTAGCATGTGTTGCCAGGATGGGTCCTGCTGTTCCTCCGCTGTCAGGAATCAGTGTCGTGTTAGGGTTCCAATCGGCTCGACATTTAGCTCAGTCAGTAATTTTATCACCCACCTGACCTCGATCTCAGCTTAGGATTTCTTGAACTTCTGCTGTTCACTTACATGGATATTTACAAAAAGAAAACTAAAGAGAGAAAACATAAGCAGTATCAAATCTGTAGCTGCGATTGAAATCTGAAGGCACATGTCTCGAAGCTGACACTGTGTCCCAGAATGTGGCCTTGCCGTCCTGCAATGTCTTGTAACCATCAGATGGGACCGTGGCTTGCCTGGAGTTCCGTCTCCCTTCCAGAAAGCAGCCATATTTTAGGAACACACAAAATTATATGGTAGACTGCAGACTTTAGGTATAAATTCAAATAAGGATTATTTTAGATATATAAAATATACCTCAAAACTGTGTTATATTAGAAGTGCATTTTTTACAGTAAAAATGCAAATCACATTTAGGATTTCCGTGTGAATTGTGAGGGTCTCAGTAGTTTCTGCAGCATCAGTGCAGGTTTCCATTCATGGTTTAATGGTGCCTGGGTTGTAGCAGAAAACCTGTTCGGGGAAACACTGTGAGGGAGAATGATTCCTCTTTTACTTCTGCCTGCATCAAACCTGTTCAGGGGATCGAATTTGGAGATCACATAATAAATATGAAACCTGAATGCTTGATTTAAGGATTTGCTTTTGTTTCTTCTCTGTCATGAGCACACGGACATACATTTTAAAGCTTTTAAAGGCATTTGCAAGAGGTTATATATCCTCCGCTAATCCTGACACATGAAGTGTCGTCCTTGCAGATGGCTTGTTTGTAGGCCGGCAGCAGAGTCGACGAGACCCAACGCATCACAGGCAAAGCCGGCTTGCCTGTCCCATGGTGAATGCATGAGAAGTCACTGAAGGAATCCTTCTAGAGCTTTTGGCTTCCAGTGCAGACAGACAGGACGTATGTGCATCACCCCCGAATGTCTGCGTCTGGAGTGTGGCTGTAGGAAGGAAGTGGCACTTGGCAATATCTATCCGTATTCTAGATTCACAGCTCTGAGGCGACCATGCAGTCATCTGCATCCTTGTGAGATTTAATTATGTGAACAAGCAGTCCTCTTCAGCATAGAAACGCTTGCCCCGTGCTCAGCGCGGCCCGAACAGCTTTTCCGGGCGGGCCCCACGAAGTCGGTTTCGTCCTAATCTTGTCTGTTCTGCCAAGGTGGTCCCTTGCCGTGTGTCTGTGCGCACTTGTCTCGTAAGCTGTGCGGTGTCACGGTACACTGGGTGTCACTTGGGCCACTGTACTATTTGTCTTGTCCTTCAGTGGGCAGACCTTTTGAAGTTGGCCCTTCTCCTCTCTTCCCACCTATAATTCTTCTCTTCCCGCATTCTGTTTTTCTGGTAGTGGATACGACTTGAAATTTGCCGGGCAAGAGGAGGAGGATTATCTAGGGCTGCATCTTCTGCCCCCCTCGGCAACTTGAATGCTTATAGAGCGGCGGCTGACCAGCACCGGGCCAGCTCACGTGAAATCTTGATCACCTCCCATGTACACCCCAGAAAACTCACAGGGAGTGCTTTTAAAAACGTGGGCGCTTGTAGCATGTGAATGAGAATTAGTATACGTTACAGAATAATACAGCCGGGTTCAGAGAGGCTTTCCTGTGGCTTGTTCGGATAAATGACATGAAAAATTATGAGGACACAATGGAATTGCTCAGTGTTGTTCTTCTCTTTCACATTCATTCCTTACTCTTGACTTGTCTTGATCTTGATCTTGTTTTGATCTCCAGTAGAACGTTCCAGAAATTTCATTGGGTATAATGTCTGATTTGGCACCAACTTATTTATGGGCCGACTCGGAGTATGTTTTCCTTGGGCTTCAGTTATATGACTGCCATGAATTTTCATTACACTAATCACACATACGTGGATGTTCCGGCCCACTTGGATCCCCAGTCCCGGCCAGCCGCCTCTGCCAGCAGTATTTTTCAGTGACATGATCTGGCACCATTTTCCAACACATTTTCAGGAAATTAGTTTTAAGTTGGAAAAGAACTTGCCTAATAAAGCTACTGACGTTCAACTGTTTTCGTTACCTTCTTGGGGAATTAGACTTGAGTAAATGTGCCCATTTAAACTATAACTTGTATTTTTTTTTAAAGATTTTATTTATTTCTTTGAGTCAGAGAGAGAGAGTGTGCAGAAGCAGGGAGGAGGGGCAAGAGGCAGAGGGAGAAGCAGGCTCCCCTCAGAACAGGGAGCCTCACGCGGGACTCGATCCCATAACCCCAAGATCATGACCTGAGCCGAAGGCAGACGCTTAACTGACTAAGCCACCAGGCACCCCTACTCTTATTTTTTTATTTTATTTTTTTTACCATTGGTTTCCTCGATGGGTTTGGTACATGAAGAAGGCGTCTTACCCAGTGCTCCAGCCAGGCTGCCCAGTCCCCATGCTCATGTCTAGCTCGAGAGGAGCCTGAGCTGCCGCGGGGCCGGCCCCCAGGCTCTGACACGTGGGCCAGCCCCTGCTGATTGGTGGTATCCGCAGGGAGCACAGCACTGAGAAGGATTCTGAGGTCCGGACCTAGTGGGCAGGATGCCAGCTTCGATGAGTTTGTGTGTCTGGGGCAGGGGACAGGGTGGTGGCAGGAGTGCTCCCGCCATTCCTGTCGTAGTGAGGATCGTCAGCTGGGAGCCTAATGCAGGCCCCTAAGAGCTCCGCGGCCAGTTAGGATCCAGCAGGCCAGGCCGGGCTGCCTGAAAGCAGAGGGTTTTCAAACCGAAGTGAGGGTCAGAAGTATCTGGCTGACTTGTTAAAGCCCAGGTTGCCCGTCCCCATCCCCAGAGTGTCGCGTTCAACAGCCCTAGAGCGGTATCCCACGTTTCCATTTGTAACAAAGCCCCTGGTAACGCGGAGGCTGCCTGCCGGTCAGGGATCCCGCTTTGAGAATCGCTGTCTTAGAGGCTACAGGGCCGTTGCACCCCTGCTGCTTCCCTGTCGTCACAGCTCTCTGTGACCCGAGAGGAGTTCCTGGGTTTTGTTTTTGGGGCATATACGCCAGCATCTACCCTCCACAGCGCTGGGCTCAGGGGGAGTCTGGCGTCCCTCGTTTCTGTCTGAAAACAGATAGCCCTCCTAGGCAGCCCCACTTAAACTCGAAGGGCTGAAACCATTCTCCTCCACCCGTGAAAGGCTGCTCTGAAAATATAAGCCACATCCATCTCATTTAATCTGCATTTGGCGACAACTCAGGACACAAAGCCACGCTGCCTGTGTGCCAAGCAAACACGCAGAAGGTGGTGTGGGTCGCCGGGCGCTCAGGGGTTTCTGTTCCGGAGCCCTGTGCTGGGTGCACTGCTCTCCCGTCCAGGTGCTGTTGCCATTTAGGCCCGGCAGAGCAGGCAGGAAGCCAGAAGCATCCCTCGGGGATCTAGCACTGTGTTTAGCTCCTGATGATGGCAGGTGGGGAGAGAGGAGCTGGTTCCGTCCTGCTCTGGGTCAGTGCCGTGGAGGAAAGCACAGATCAGAACAGCACGGGGCCTGGGGTGTGGAGGAGCCAGCCTTCCCGTCCGTCCTTTGAGGCAGGCCTGTTATGCTTACTGCCATCCCTAGTCTCCTAGACCGGGGCAGGCGATGCAGAGGGTCTACACGCTCCTTTTATTATCCATCGTTTCCAGATGCTTTCTTTTTGTCATTTAGGGTTCACTTGGTGCAATAATTTCCATACTTAGCACAGGGAGTTTCCAGAATCCGTGCGATGGCGTGGAGAACGTTCAGTGCTATGTTGGCCTCATGAATCTTTCTGGGCCCGTCTCTTGCAGAGTCTCGACAATCCAGCAGCAGCTGGCCCAGCTAGAGAACGAGTCATGGCCAGGCCTGGCGGAGGCCGACAGGGACCGGTTGCAGCTCATCAAGGAGAAGGAAGCCCTGCTCCAGGAGCTGCAGCTCATCGTCCAGCAGAGAAGGCCGGCGGAAGACGTGGCGCGGCTGGAGGCGGAGAGGAGGCGCCTGGAGGAGGAGATCCAGCGCGCCCGGGCCACGTCGGTGCAGGGCGCCACGGAAAGGTGGGTGGCCTTGCGCCGTTTTGGGAGCAGGCAGGACTCAGCGTCCTGGTAAGGTCCAACCAGAAATGCGAACTCGGAGAACTAGCCCATGACCCTCGATTGGTCCTGGTCGTTAAGACGCAGGTCATCGACTGCCTGGTGTGTTTCCTGGAGGAGCGGAGGGAAGGCAGGCGCTGGCCCTTCCCAGCTCTTCCCGGGCGCCCGCGGTTCCCATTCCCTGTTCGGAAGCAGGAGGGCATGCAGCGAGGGGAGCTGGGAGCCCCTTGCTTAGCGCCCCCCTTCCAGCATCGGAATGCGTTCCCCTTGTCTGCGGGACGGCCGGCAGGAGGCTGGGAGGCGGCTGCGGGCCCGGGGAGGGAGCCCCGTTGCTGGCCCGGCCGGCGTGGCGGCGAGCCACCCCTTCGCCTCGTCTGCCACTCGGGCCTCCCCCGGGAGCTGCCGGCTCTGCGGCAGCACGAAGCCGGCGGCCTGGCGCCTGCCCGCTCCCAGAGGCGCCTGTCCGCAGCCCGTCTCGGGCTGTCTGCGGGCATCGGAGGGGTGAGGCCGGCCGGCACCCCGAGTCCTCATTGCCCGGCCTTTTGGCGTGTGCCGGGCCACCGCCTTCCATTTGCCGCGCGCGGTCCGGGGCCGTGTCGGAGGCCGGCTCTGTTCCACATTTCGCGGCTGTCAGGAGTGTATCTGCGGGGACCCACCGAGCTTTGGAGAGCCCTCCCGGGGCGATCACCCATGTGACCGTGTACTGGACCTTCACATGCGGTGCGTCAGAAGGGCTGTACGCCATGCACGTATGAGCCTTCATAGGTAGCGTGTCACAGCTGAGTCACTGCGTGCGGACCGACGCCCTAAGGGCTGTCATCTAATCACACGGGAGTTTACCCAACCGAGGTACGTGTTGGGGTTATCGATGCTTGGATAGTCACCATTAATGTCTGTGTGGTGACATTAGTGGCTGATGTCATTGCTGGCGGGAAGTGGTGGCCATGGGAGAGCCCGGCTCAAAGGAATACAGGAGCGAGTTTTAGTTTGCTTGAGGCGATCGTGTGCCCTGTCACTTCACTCAGAATAAACGCGGAGTTGATTTTGACCCTGGAAAGGGACGGTGAACTGAAGTTTTCGCCTGTGCGCCTGCGCTTCCGCTCTCCCCTGGGTACTCTGTGGTGTGTGTGTTGGGTAGGAGGGCCTGGGAGTTTGTTGGCTGGGTTGTCTCTTAAGGAGGGTGGACTCTGTCCTGTGAATGCCCCCTGCTGCTCAAGACCCCACACGCATGGGGCACCTGGGTGGCTCAGTGGGTTAAAGCCTCTGCCTTCAGCTCAGGTCGTGATCCCAGGGTCCTGGGATCGAGCCCCATATCGGGCTCTCTGCTCAGTGGGGAGCCTGCTTCCTCCTCTCTCTCTCTCTCTCTGCCTGCCTCTCCACCTACTTGTGATCTCTCTCTCTCTGTCAAATAAATAAAATCTTAAAAAAAAAAAAAAAGACCCCACACGCATGCACCCTTGACTGTTTTTGCCCTCGCCACGTGGAAATCCCAGCACACATGAGTGCTGGGGTCCCAGGGTACAAATCCACAGAACCCCATGGAGCTGGTGGGACTCTCGGTGCCCGGGTTCAGGGACTGGGTTGGCCAAGCTCGTTCAGCTGATGGAGTCTCTTCTGGGACCAGGCCAGGTGCTGAGTCCTGGGATGCAGAGCCCTCTCCACTGGGACTGAGTTGGCCCTCATGTGTCTCCTGAATCTGCCGCTAAGTGGCCTTGGGCCAGGAGGGGTGTCCCCTGCTGCTGACAGGCACTTCCCTGGCGGCCACTTCTGCCAGTGGTTACTGTCTGCGACCCACGCTGCACAGCGAGGTGGGGTTGGGGGGAGCTAAGTGCTCCCCCGGGGCTCCTGTAGCCGGGGCCTTCTGGGCCAGGGGGAGGCAGGCCCGTTTCTCTGTGCGCCTCCCTTCACTGGATGCATGCTTGAATTGGGAGTAAGGACCCGGAGGTGGGAGGCTTTCCCTGGAACAGGCTGAGGGCTGTTGTTAGACCCAATGTGGAGATGGAGCAAAGTGGCCGAGGTCGGCGTCTTCCGGCCGAGGTGGGCTAGTGAGTATCACTGGGGATTGGGATGGTGTCAAGCCTTTTCCCCATCAAAGGACAGACCTGCTTTAAGGGTACCTACTTGGTCACATGTTAAATGCCGTGGTTTGATTTATAAACAAGGACTGTTTTGTTCTGAGGCAAACACATTCATTCATTCATTCAGCGTTGAGTGCCTGGATGTGTCGGGTTCCATTCAAGGCGGTGGCCTTAGTGCAGCGGACAGAGTTCATTCCAGAAATCCTAAAGTTGAAGATAGTGGGAAGAAGAGAAAAAACGCCCTCCAACCCTGTGACAGTTGCTGTTTTGTTTTATTTGTGTCTAATCTTAATTCTATGGATTTTAGAATCGCATGCGTTTTTGCCCAGAGGGGGCTTAAGCAAGGGACTGTGATACGTTCGCAGGAATTCCAGCGGATTACTGCGTGCTGTGCGTGGGAGGCCGTCTTCTAGTCGGGTCCAGCCTCTCATCCTTTCTGTCTGTTAGTGCACCTGCCCAACCCCCCGTCTGTTCACCCACCCACCCATCTCTGGAGCTTCTACGGTGTATCAGGCACTGTTCAGGGTGCTGGGGGGACAGCGTCAAGCAAGACACAAGCAGTCTCTGTTATCGTGGTGTTCGCGACCTGCAAGTGTTTTCTAGAATGGAGTCATTCAGACTTAAATTGCTTGGGGGAAATTTACAGTTGAATTTCTTGTTGGGAAAATAAACTCACCCTCTTTGAAATCCACCAGTGGACTGTTTTCTTACCTACAGGATTCTGCTTCAGGAAAAAAGAAATTGTCTCCTTATGCAGCTGGAAGAAGCTACCCGCTTGACATCCTATCTCCAGTCCCAGTTAAAAAGGTTGGTAACTTTATTTATTTTTATTTTTTTCGGCGGGGGTGGGGGGTGCAGAGGGAGAGAGAGAATCTCAAGCAGGCTCCACGAGATCATGGCCTGAGCTGAAATCAGGAGTTAGAGGCTTAACTGACTGAGCCACCCAGGTGACCCTAAAAAGGCAGATAACTTTATTTTATTTAAAAAAAAATTTTTTTTAAAAAGATTTTATTTATTTATTTGTCAGAGAGAGAGAGCGAGAGAGATCGAGCACGGGCAGACAGAATGGCAGGCAGAGGCAGAGGGAGAAGCGGGTTCCCTGCCGAGCAAGGAGCCCGATGTCGGACTCTATCCCAGGACGCTGGGATCATGACCTGAGCCGAAGGCAGCCTGCTTAACCAACTGAGCCACCCAGGTGTCCCAATTTAAAAAAATTTTTTTAAGACTTTATTTGAGAGAGGTAAAGAGAGATCACAAAGGCAGAGCAGCAGGCAGAGGGAGAAGGAGAAGCAGGCTCCCTGCTGAGCAGGGAGCCCAATGTGGGGCTTGATCCCAGGACCCTGAGATCATGTTCTGAGCTAAAAGGCAGAGGCTTAATCGACTGAGCCACCCAGGCGCCTCAAAGCAGGTAACTTTAAAAGTGCAAACTATGCCTAATTATCATGTTATGATGGCATGTCCATGAACTTCATCATTCCCTTGAACGTGTTTTCCCTCGTACCAGAATTTAGAACCAGAAGTGGTTGTAAACACAGAGGCAGGGAGCGGCTATGTTGTATTTTTAAGAGGAGTCGCTGATGTAGGGTGCAGGGAGCGGGAGGAGAACCGAGCTTGGCTGCACAACAGAGGGTCTGAAGTCAAATTCGCCTGGTGATTTTATAATTTACAGCTTCTGAGGTGTATATATCCATCTCCATATGCACATGGATAGTTTTAATTTTTTTTTTTTTTGGCTAAACAATATGAATATTTTTAAAGTAAGATTTGGTTGCTCAGTGGTAGCTTCCTTTTCAAGTACATATATATATATTACAGGCTTTCCATGTCTTATTTTCTCAGTAATTCCCCCTCGCACCACCACGAGGTAGGCATGATTATCTTGCAGCCCCCAGTGAGAAAGCGGGGCGGGGGGGATCCCGAAAGGGCAAGTCACTCGACCCGGTAGGCTCGGCTGGTCGGCCTTGGGAGCTGGGACCTGAAGCCAGGTATGAGTCTCCGATGTTACCTACCGCTCTCGACTGACAGTCACAAGAAGCAAACGAAATACTAGTGGAGGTGCCTCACGAATGCTTGTGAATGGTTAGAGACACGCTCTGTTCCGGGGCGGGGGGCGAGGGAGCGGGATTCTGTTCCCCCTGGAACCGAGCAGGTGCTCCCCTTCGCAGTGCACAGCGGCGGGGCTCAAGCACGGGCCTTCTAAGAGCGCGCCTCCCTTGTTACAGCCTGTCGGCCAGCAGCCTGACTGTGTCTTCAGGGAGCAGTCGCGGGTCCCTGGCCTCCAGCCGGGGCTCGCTGGCCTCCAGCCGCGGGTCCTTGAGCTCCGTCAGCTTCACCGACATCTACGGCCTCCCACAGTACGAGAAACCCGACGCCGAGTGTGGCCAGCTTCTGCGCTTCGATCTCATTCCCTTCGACTCCCTGGGACGAGACGCCCCCTTCTTGGACCCCCCGGTGCCCTCGGGCTTCCACAAGCAGAGGCGCTCCCTGGACACGCCACAGTCCTTGGCCTCCCTGTCCTCCCGCTCCTCCCTGTCCTCTCTGTCTCCCCCGAGCTCGCCCTTGGACACGCCCTTCCTCCCGGCCTCACGTGACTCGCCCTTGGCCCAACTGGGGGACGGTTTCGAGGTGCCCGGCCTGGGCACCCTCGACAGACTGCGGGCCCAGGCCTCTGCTTTGGGGGATGAAGACTTGCAGGGCACGGCCTCCCTTCAGCCTCACGGGTTCCCCGGGGATGGGGAAGGACCTCGCGAGCGAGGACCCCAAGCGACCGTCACTCCCACGGCTGCCAGTGAGTACTGAGGCGTGCTGCGGGTTTTCTCGTGCTGGGGAAACGGCGGTTTCGGCTTTGGGGATGAAGTCGCGTGCAGTTGTGCTGACGTCAGCTGGCTCTTCGATTCCATAGCGAGCTTTTCAGACTGTTGGTGGGGTCACGCCTGCCACCTGCATGCTTTCCTCCTGGGGCCCTGGGGTCTGGGGTCTGGAGAGGTCGTGGAGCTGGTCAGGTCGTCTTCCCCGGGTGTTTGGCTTGTCTTCAGAATGAGCTCCATTGTTGAAAAGGATGGTAAGCACCCCCGCCTCCCGCAGTCCGAGGCCGCTCAGGAGGTCCTGGGGCCTCCGTGAGCTCCCCAGGGTTCGCACCACCGGGGAGCAGCACTGGCCTGGGTCTGCTCGTAGCCCCGGTGGAAAGCTCTACCTCCTGTGTCCCTGTGACTTCATCTCTTCAGCCTTTGTCCTCCCAGTTTTCAAAGGTGTAATTTATCAAATGTGGGAATGAAAATAATTGGTGTCGTTTCAAAAGACATGCTGGTAAGCATCCATCATTTCTACCCAAGCGATGTCTCTGGTACCCCTCAGATCGATCCAGGCTGACCTTGTGCATCCAGTCAGTTACCTCAGCTTGTCCTGGGTGCCCGGGCCTGTCCAGTGGTAGCCCCCATAGAAAACGGGTCTGTCGCTCCAGAGAACGTTCCAGCTGATAGCTTATGCACAAAGCAGGGCCTAGGCTCCGCCCCTCCTCATCTGGACCCCATGTGCTTTTCTGAGCCAAGCTGTAGCAACTTTAACTCCCTTAGAGTTCCGAGAGGACCAAGAGCAAGGTCTCCTTCCTCAGGTTCGTGAACTTTTATATACACGGCAAGGTTTTAGACCTTCCATTTAGGCAAACACAAGATATTTGTGTAGCTTAGTGGGTCTCAACCAGGGGAGTATTTGAACCCTGGAAGGTACCAGTCAGTGGCTGGAGACAGGTTTGGATTGTCACAAGTGAAGGCCGTGCGAGGGGGCGCTGCTGGCGTCTAGTGGGTGGAGGCCAGGGGTGCGGCTCCCCATTGTCCAGTGCCCGGCACGGCCCCTGTCACAAGGAGCCCTCCGGCCAAGCGGTCGGTAATGCTGAGGCCGAGAGTCCTGGTCTGGTCGTTTACCGGTGAGCGGTCCTGCAGCAGGGGGCAGAAACGACATGTGAGGACAAAGCCAGGGCTGTGTGGTGGAAACAGCTTCAGACACACAGCTTCGGGGCCCAGACTCTGTTGCCTGGCCTGCTGGCCGGCTAGCTGCGTGACCTTGAGTGCATGCGCGGACTCGGCCGAGTCTTGGCTTCCCTGCCCACAAACAAGGCGGTCTTCACTCACCACCCTTGTGTTTGCCCGAGTTTTATGTATGTAAGCACGCTGGTTACTGTGGCTCTAATCAAATGATCGGCTCTGTTAGCACCTGCCTGCTGGCCCAGGGATGTGTGAGCTCGGGAGGCCGCCCTGTGGCTTTGTGGCACCTGTGACTTTGCTGACTCCTCTGTGTTTACGAGCATGCCTTTCGCATCCCCAGGCTTAACGGTTTCTGGCATTCACGTGTGCAGGTGCCCTTCGTCCCCTTTGTTCTTTATAATCACAGGTTCAGTGCTCCATGTTTACTCCTTTAATTCAAAAAAGAAAACACAAAATCGGGACCAAATGGCACATCTGTTGTTGCTTAAGCTGATTGCCCTCAGTGCCTCGCCTCCCTGCCAGCCTGGCTTTAAAGGTTGAGGCACGAGTATCAGTCTTGTTAGGCAGAAAGTCCCAAGGCCCAGGGGCCCTTTTCGGCCAGGGGAAGGACAGGGTGAGAGGGGAGAAGAGCTGATTGAGTTTCCCATCCTGATTATTTTTTTCTTCCCACTCTGGCTAACGTTGTGTAATGGTTCAGTCCCTAGACAGGGAGGTATTTGGTTATGCTGTGTTCGGGTAGTGCCACCTCGTGGTCAGTTCTTGTATGACAGTGTCCCTTGACTTGGGTCTTTATAGATCGAAATTGGTAACTCTGTGAATGCATTGGTCCTAGTGGGTGCCCCCCCACCGAAGGCTGGGTTGGGGAACCAGCTGCAGGTGTGGACATGGGTGACTTCTGGCCTCTCTTGATGTTTGTGGGAACACTTGAGCCTAGAGTCATCGTACCTTCGTAAAGATGGCAGGGATCTTGGTACTGCTTGTTACTCTGCGCGCGTTTATGACGCCTGCCGTCACGTAGTTCCCCCAGACTTTCTAGTTTCCTTAGGAACAGGACAGCCTAAGTTTGACCTCCGGCACATTTAGCTGTTAGAAAGATAAAATTGTGGTACGTGGAAATTCAAAATTGCCCAAACCTATAAAGCAACCTCTAGAGTCATTTCTTCCATTGTGTTTTAAATCAAGCTGAGGAGGTAGAAGGTGGGCAAGGGGAGTGGGGAAATAGACTATAATCTTGAATGTTTTTAATATTTTTACTACACTTTTATCTTTCTGGGATTTCAAAAGCCAACTGTGTCGGCATACCCGGCTGACTCAGTCCTTGGAGCGTGTGACCCTTGATCTCGGGGTTGTGAGTTCGAGCCCCATGCTGGGTGTAGAGATTACTTAAAATCTTTTAAAAAAGCCAAATGTATCATGACTTTTGAAGTCTTTTCCTGTTTTCTTTTCCCATTAGTATTTGCTAATCTAAGTCTGGGAAACCTTGATTTTGTTCATCCGCTGATTGACTTTTTTATGATACTCATACTCTGTTTAAAACTGTTGGCTTAAATTCTGCAGTTTTTTCACTTTGTGCTTTTTTTCTTTATCTCCTTTCTCATGCGGCTCGACAGAAACGTTCACTGTAAGTGACCTCGGAATCCCTCCCCTTGCTGGTCAGACAGTGAGCACGTCTTTGTGCGATGAAATCTGGTTAGCGTGGGAGGGGTGTGGCCAGGAGGGGCGTACCGCATAGCTGTGCCTTAAAGAAGCTTGCTGGTTACTGTTATCATTATTATTAATATTATTATTGTCATTTCAATGTTAATATTTATCATGGCTACTAAAGTTGTATAAGAACTTGTCTAAAAGCTTGAAGTACTTATTCCTCTGTATTTCTCCCCACATACCAGTGGTTGTCATTATTTTACTAATAGGCCACCTGGCAGCTTTGCCCACAATGTGACTTTCATTGTATTTTCTTTTCATCAAGCAGTGCTGATGTCCTTAGGTCTCAGTGTCTGTCTGTCTGTCTTGAACGGTGGAAAGGTCGGTGATGTTCACAAGGAATGTCGGGAGGGCCGTCGGTTCCTTCCTTCCCTGGCCTTGCGCCCCGCGCCCCAGGCGGCCGCGGATGTGGCGTGGGAGCTGCTGTGCGCTTTTTCTCAGCCCCGGCAACTGCTGATCGTACTTCCTTCCGACACCTGCTGCCAGTTGCCAGTCGCTCTGTGAATGCGATGACTAAGCCTGGGATCACTGAGGATTAATTCCTTCGTTTCCTTTTTCTCCTCCGAGACTGGCCCTGCAGTGAGGGAGAAGCGGTGCGAGCGCTGCACCGTCGGCTTCGCCGGAAGTGCCCGGGCTCCTTGCTTGTGGGCTGGCCTTGCAGGAGTGCAAGGCTGTGCCCGGGAAGCCGAGCGGGGTGCCGGGGCACGGGGTGCAGGCAGGGAGCGCTCTCGTTGGCGGGAGAGCCGCGCAACAAAGGGCTTCCATCTGAATTCCGAGCTGGGGCCTTCGGGGCCTCCCGTGGGGCAGGAGTGGCGAGAAGAGCTGGGCTCTGAGAGTCCGCTCCTCCGGCCATCCCGGCACGGAGCCGGCTTCAGTCCTGGACCAGCGAGGCGCCCCGGAGCTGCCCGGGCCGGGCACTGCAGACGTCGGAAGGACAGCCTTCGTCTGCGGCTGAGAGCTGCGGCCCGAGCCAGCCCGTCTGTCCGGGCGCTGTCTAGCGTGTTTGGCTTGGATCGGTGTGCGAATGACGACTTGGTTGGAAAGCGAGCTGGTGCTCAGTGGCCTGGACACTTCCCTCAACGTAGGGCTGCGCAGGTGCCTAGATTGTCGTGTTCAGATCTGAGATGGCTGAAGGGAAGCACAGAGAGGACAGGGGGACCCGCGCTGCTAACAGGAGGCATCGTGATGTCAGAGGAAGGCCCCGTTCGGGGCTCCGTGTTTACTTCCCGTCTTCTCACCAAGTCGGCCCCTCTGGAAGGCGCTGACACGCCCGTGTGCACGTTCACACCTGCCACAGGAGGGTGGCGGCCCGGCTTTCACTGGCTTTGTGAAAAGGAACTTGTGAGGGAAGGAGCAAAGACAGGGCATGAAGTGCTAAAAGGAAGAATGTCGATGGTTACTTTTGGCTCTTGATTAAGAGAGAGACAAGGCAAAGATAAACTGCCTAGTACTGGTAGCTTGCTAACCCCAGGAAAGCAATTTTCGAAAGAAGCAGATCTGGCCCCTGGGCTGCCGGGAGGACGTGGCCGTCAGAGGAGCTGTTTCCAGAGGCTGAGTCTGGGGTCAGCTGTGTCCTGTGACCTGGAAGTCACCACATCTTATTAGGGTTTATTTGGATAATTAAAAAAAATTCTTTTCTGGTTATAAAATATAGAGTATATGTTTATTGTATAAAATATGGGAAATACCAAGCATCGTAAAGAAGGAAATGAAAAACACCCCGCCCCCCATTTACATGCATTTAGGTAAGAGGTGCTGTCCACATTTGGGGTAACCTTTCTTTCCTGGTCTTTTAGGGATGATGGTCTTTCTCAAAGTGTGATACGAAAGGGCATCCCCCCATCTTCTTCTCGATGCTGTGTACATTAAGGAGGTGAAGAGAGATTTGTGACTGTTTTAAAGAGATTTTAGGGGCGCCTGCGTGGCTCAGTGGGTTAAGCATCTGCTTCCGGCTCAGGTTGTGATCCTGGGGTCCTGGAATCGAGCCCCATGTGGAGCTTGCTGCTCAGCGGGGAGCCTGCTTCTCCCTCTCCCTGTGCCTGACGCTGCCCCTGCTAGTGCTCT